CAGCTTTTCTTAACCTCGTCAGCAAAACCCAAAGCACTGATGTATTCTTAGGCGCAGCACTTTTTTTCTGTTTCTCTCCGTGTGTTGCACCAGTTTTACACCCCATTGAGTTCAGGAGAGCTGTACAGCAGGAAATTAGGCCCAAAGTACATATAGAGGTTTAAATCCGATCCTAAAACATTGTAAGACACAGCTCTGGGGCCCTCTAATGGAGACAATGGCAGCCACGATCAGCAAAATGAAATGGAATTAACACTAAACAAAGAAATTTTCACTGGAGGAGGCAGCTCAGGGAGCACATACTCAATTAGGAGCGGATAGATACTTTCCTGAAGTGACTTTTATTTATGTATTGATTTGTTTATCAGAGCAGAAGGTCATGAGGGGTTTTTTTTTGAGAAGCAGGGGTGGGGAGTGAATGAAATTAGATCAGTGGGAAGAGCACAGGTGAGACCTCCTGGATCCTCTGCCAGCCCAGCTTTCATGGGGAGATCATTGTTACTGGGGACGTCCTTCTGTGTCTCCAAGGACAGCCTGTGGGCAGAGGTGGCCCCGTGAGTGGCCATGAATACCTGTCCATCCTCTCTGACAGCGCTCAGTCTGCTCTGACTCAGTCCAACACAACCCTTAGAAGCAGCCCCGCGCCCTCCTGTGTCGCTAACACACCCCTTTCACCTGGACTGGCTCTGTGGAGCTGCTTTGGGCTACATCTGCTCCTTCCTCTCTGGCAAATCCTARGCCAGCATAATGCCAAGAAGCTCCTCCTGCTCATCAGCAGTTCTTGTGATGGATCTTGCATTGGGATCTTACCTGGCATTGTCAGGACAAGCCTAAGAAATGTTTCCRGAATTATGAAACAGCTTTGCCTTCAACCCACTGGGGATATCTTTTACTTCTGTCTCAGCTGCCTCCTCCTCACCTCCTCATCTTAAGTGTCTTAAAGAAATAGGAGTTGTGGGAATTTGCTCAGGGTAATGGTTAGACAAAAGTAAAGTTATTTTTCTCAATCTCTGCAGGTATAGACTCGCTCTGGATCCCATCGAGTTGTTTGACTGTGTTGGACATCCACACTGTAACAGCAGCCAAAGATATCTGTCATTTCTGACTCTTCCTGTAAGCTGARGCATTAGTCACAGAGCTGTGCCTTTTTCATTTAAACCTGCATTCCACACTCAGAAGGAAACCATGTAAAGATTATTCCCATTTCATTAGCTAACCTGAACGAGCCAAGCAACCCACAGCAGCTCTCCAAGAAATGTAGTGGCTCCCTGTCCAGCCTCAGTACATCTTCAGGTATTTATTTAAAGCTCCTTGAGCTTTGAACAGGTGCAGGGCAGGTGACTTTTCAGATCATGAGWTTTTAGGAGTTGTTCTGAAGAACATTTAGCAGAAACGACCCAGCATGAGTCTGTTTTGCAGACTGGCACAGGCATTTTGTGAGTACATGCTATCTCTAAGCATGGGCGCGGTCTGGCTGCCATGTGGGGAAAAATATGTGTTTGTGTAGATGTTCCCCACTCTGCTGTCACCAAACACKGAAATAACCCATTTGAAAGTGCTGAAGAAATGAGAAGCCAGTCCCTGGTGCCTGGATCTRTAGTTAGAGGGGCATTACTGGATTATGTGATCCTACCAGATTGCAGGGTTTATTTCTTTACAACATTAGAGGACYCAACAGCCCTGAGGGTACTGAGGGAGGGAGGATGGAGAGGACCAAACCACCTGGATGTGCAGAACTGCAGGTTTAAAGCTGCAGGTCCCAGGGCTCAGCWCACACAGCATCTATTTAGCATCCTTGCAGCTTCTGGGCTTCAGCCTGAGAATTGCTCCAGCATCATGTGCCACAGAGCATCCCCTCTGTGCCCGCATTAGGCTTTTCTGAGCATTCTGAGGGAAACAACAAAAGTTCCCCTTCTCCTTTACAGCTCTTTCACTTTTTGCCTAATGAAGGTGGAATATAAAACGTTGAAGGAAAAAGCAGTTTTTCCCCTACAGTAGAATTTCCTTTTCAGTTATTTTTAATCTGACATCTGTTTTAACATGCACTCACACACTGCATTTATTTTAATTTTTTCCCTCCCTTGTGTTTTATTATTTACCTCCTGTTCCAAAGAGATCACAAAAGATTACACTTCTGTGAAGCAGTAACAGCGGCGTGATGATCTCTCTTACTTCTCACAACTTTTCTTTTCACCCCTCTGTTTTTCCTTTATCTACATCTTCCCATCCCTGCCGTCCCAGAGGCCTCGTTACAGCCGCTATCGCACGGGGTGAAGGCATTCACGGGTTTTTTTTTGGAATTGGGCAGATACGTGCTAACTAGAACACAAAGCCCTTCTTGTTCACAAAGCCCTTCTTCATCAGAGCCYGGATAGCTGCTCTTTGCTTTGTTTCAATTCATGCCTTTTAAAAAAAGTTCCACCAAGAAATCACGCTCTGGGTCAGCTGGTGCCTGTGCTTTGAAGAAAGCCCCAGACTCTGCTGAAGGCAGCAGAAAGCAGCCAGCACTGAGACGTGCCAGCCTTCAGCCAGGCTTCTGACATGATGCYGGCTGAATGTTTCATTTCCCCTGGAAATGAAGATAACATCCTTAATCATCTTTACATGTAATTAAATTAAATCATGGAGCACACGCATCCTTCAGCTTCGCCTAAGAAGCTGGTTGTTCAGGTCTGAGGTTTAGGGTGGGAATAAAGGAGAGTTCTGGATGGTGCAGTAATCACTGCAGAGAGTTTGAGCACTTTGCAGCCCCAGGGCAGCCTCTCAGGCAGTGAGAAGAGCAGGGGATGGTCGGTGCTGCTGCCAGGCTCAGGGTGAAGCTCCCCCAGCTCCTTCACCAGCCCCCTTCTCTGCAGGTTGTGACAGTGGCAGGGACCCCCAACCCACGGGGYCACCAAACCAACCTTGTCACTGGTGTGACCCAGACACAGGAATGGAACTGGCTGGCTGCTCTGCTCGTTTGCTTCTCTCATTAATGAGAAAAGAGGCGAGAACTCATGCAAGTCTTCGAATAAAAGCAGAGCTCATGCTATTATTGAAATGGATAAATCAGGTTACGAAGCTGTCCTTCACTTTTCTGGGCAAATCATCATCCATTTTGGGGTTTGATTACATAAGGACACTGAGGTAGAAATGATGCTCACCTGCAGCAGCTGAGATGCAAAGGGGCTGCTCAGCCTCAGGAAGGGTTGAGGGACAGCAGACCTCATCAGTGTCCATCATATCTGAWGGGAGGGTGTCAAGGGGATGGACCAGGCTCTGCCCAGCAAGAGGACAAGAGTAACAGGCAGAAACTGATGCTCTGGAAGCTCTACATGAGCATGAGGAAGAACTCCCTGTGCAGTGACTGAGCACTGGAACAGGTTGTGCAGAGAGGCTGTGGAGTCTCCCTCACTGAGCATACTCGAGAAGCATTTGGGCACAACCCTGTGCCGTGTGCTCTGGGATGGCCCTGCTGAGCAGGGAGGTTGGGCCAGTTGTGATCCCTTCCAACCTGACTCATCCTGTGATTCTGTGACTCCTCTACTCCTTCTGTACAGAAAGCAAGACTTGAAAAAAGAAGTGTAGTCAATTCCAGTATGGCGTCCTCAGTTTGTTAACATTGTTCAAAAAGCCCTTTGTTTTCATCTCAGCTAAAGAAGCAATTTTAAATTTATGCTTTCACAATTCAGTGTTTTCAAAYACTCCCTGTGATCTCAGAGATCTGAAACTTTTATGCCTCAAGAAAGCTTTGCTGTATTTTTCTGCACCCAGCATCCACTTACTCCTGCTTTTAGGGAGTGCAAGGGCTGTAAACTTTCTTGGTGCTTCTAAGTTTCATTACCTCTTAATTTAGCATGGTTTTGACTTTCTGGTACTTTAATAATAACAGGCAATCAGTAATTTTGCCAATGGTATCTTTACCTAAAATGAATACTCTTCTCTCTGCTTGCCCTGTTATACAGACTGACCAGAAGGATAATTTTCTTTCTCTCCTGTGCAGGTTACMTCTAAATAAAAGCAGTTCCCTCCTTTTACTCCTACCCCACACAAGACATATCACCCAGCTGTAATTTCAGCAAAAGCTCAGCAAGATTTGGATAAAACTTGCTGTTGTTGTTCGTGGGTTTTTTCCCCCCCGAGAGAGGCAAGGAGCCAATGTTCCAACTGAGCAAAATAAAATTAAAAGTAGATCAGTTTTTTCTGTCTCAGTGGCATGTGCTCTGGTATATAATGTGTGTTCCCTGCTTCACAAAGGAAATGAAAGAATGAACTTATATGGCTGATGAAATAAAAATATCAAAGTATTACTTGCCCCAGCTGATATGTGCACTTCACATATAATTACTATTTAATATCTTTGTTTCCTACAAACCAGGAAAAAAGCTTACCCTCTGTCCCAATTCCCTCTCCTAGTAAATAAGCTGATGCAGAATATTCTAGATTTGCAGTTTCTACTTGACTTTCCTCTTGAATTTATTCTCTCCTTTGCAAAGTAATGTGGCCTACAAAATGAAGCTATTTAAAATCCTAAATGAATAAGTGTTATAAAAATAATAAATTAGTATACAAGACTGACTTGCACAAAACATATGTTACGCTCCGAAATATATTTAGACRTGAGTTTATAATTGCCTGTTCCTTTCCTAATGGCCTGAAGCACAGAACTAAATCTGAACTTTTCCCCAAGTCTGTGCAGCAATGGAGCACCACCCTGATATATGGTGGTATATATCAGGTGGTATAGCCAGATAAACCTCATTCCCTGCCTCCAGCCTGCCCTTGCTGCTCCTCAGGGCATCCCTGGCCCGGGTTCAACCCCTCACATCACTGGCAGCAGAGTAATTCTGGGCTGGTGACAGCAGCTCCTGCAGGAGGGGTGACAGGCAAGGCTCTGGGTCACATTGGTRGCCCACAGACATTGTGAATATAACATGAGCCACCATGGAGTTCTACAAAGACAACCAGTTGCTCTGAAACACCGAGCTTTCTGCTCATTCCTCAGAAAATAACAACTCCCAGACCAGAATCATCTTTATTTGGATGTGTTCACAGACTCTGTTGCTTGCTTTCTTTTTTTTGACAAAAATATAAAGGTTTCAACAGAAGAAAAAAAAAAAGTATAAATACTTTCCAGTCCAGCTTCTCCCAAAACACTGGCTGTCTTGGAGTTGCAGGGTATTTCACAGAGCTATGTTTTGAATGTTCATGGAAAAGGGAAGTGGCTATCCTCAGCTTTTCAGGAACCTCTCCCTCTGCAAAAGGAGCCTGAAGTCAGCAGCAGCAGCCCATGWGCACATCAAAACGGGAGCTGCTGACAGAATTCCTCCTGGCAGCTTCTTTCATCAGCACAGCTCCCATGGAGACAGTGAGGCTGTTCCCAGGGACTCACCYTACACACAGAGGGGACAAAGCTGCACCTCTGCTCATTTTAAGGCACTACACAGAGTCCTCCACCTAGAAACTAAAGCATCTCCAAAAAAATAGTTTCTATCTTCACCCTACAACCAACAATAAAAAAGTGTAGTTTGCAAGTGGCATCACATCCTGCTATGAAAGTATGGGCATTTATAATATTTAATAACATTTACACAGCTTGAGCTAAACAGCAGCAAAATGCAGCGTGTGGCTGCGGGGAGGGCACGGCAGAGGGTCAGCCTGGCAAGCACCTGGTGGCTCCCGACTTCATGGAACAGATTCTGTGTTTCTGAAAGCTCAGCAGCAGAATTTTCCTCTCATCACACAGACAGGCACTTGGATGTTTCCTTGATAAAAGTGGCAATGAAATCAGAAGGAAAACTCATGGTAAAAAGGGCCGCTTTTCAGGAAAACTGAAAATAGAGTCACAGCTCAGCCTCACCTTCTGTGTTGAAACSTAAAGCAGAAAAAGACTGAAAGCTYTGGATGAACTACTTCCTGAGAAATTAAGGCCCTTTTTTAATCCTCAGCACTAYATATAGGATTTTGCTTTCTGCATACGTTGTTTTTCTTGATTTTTTCCCCCCTAATCATCCTTCCTATCTGTCCAAGGTGTTTTGTAGCACACTAGTGATTCAGGTGGTATAGCCAGATAAATAACTGAGTTATTATCTTTATAATAAATCTCTTTGTAATAAATGCACCTTGTAGCTTGATTTACAGCAAAATCATCCTCCTCCTCCTCTTACTCCCATGATGAGACCTACTTAAGTCAGTGAGACTAGTCATGATGATAAGATAATTAAGTTTTTAGTACAACTCTGGTTAGTGAGCAGAATGCAGTTCTGATATAATGAATCTACTAGCTCCAGTCTGRTATTCAAAAGGTGTTGATGATTTGGGTATTATTCTTAACGTGCTCTGAGAAAAGCACATTTTTTACACTAAAGCATTAAACCCCACATAGGACACAATTCAGATCATCTTCTAAATTACAGTATTTCTTTGGGAACGGCAAAGTTGAAGTTCAGCCAGCCTAGCAGTGACACCTGCAAACTGACAGTCAAACCCCCCCTCACATTAAAATGGAAAGATTTGCATGAATGTGTTTTAAAATGACAGGAGACAGGAACTGGAGCTTCTAAGCAAGTTAGACTAAAATTTTAAGAGTGAAATGCCTAAAAATAGGCCCCTGAATGCATAGTTAAGCACCTATATAGAGACTGCTTGATTTTCAGTTGTTCTGATCACCCAGAGCTCCCATTAACTTCAGGAGCAACTGTGGATACTCAGCTGTTCTAGAAATCAAGCCACTTTTATTCAAGGGTCTAAATATGGATGTCTGTGCCCAAGTTTGGGGAGAAAAATACAAAAAATAAAAAAGAGGTCTGGTTTGGGATTTTTTTTTTTTTTTTGCTACAAGAAGACATTTTATAAAAGAGAAGTAATAGCCAGGATTCATTCTTCTTTCCCGTTACAATGCTTGAATCTGAATCAACAGAACGATTAATAGTGCAACACATCTGTGCCAGAAGATTTTGTCTGAGGTGAATGGAAATCTATTCCAAGATCAGTAGCTCTTAATTAGCAATCTGAAACATTCCACAGATATTTCATATTCTGAGACTGCAAAATGTTACCAGGCCACCTAAATCTTTTTCATAGTATTTCAGTGTTGCCATTAATAAGCTTTTCAGGCTGGTCTGAGGAACTTTGCAAGATTAACTTTGCCAATCTGTAAGTATTAACTATTTAACTATTTCAGAAATGCCACTTTTTTCTGCTTTTGGATCAAGTACAAGCAGCAGACTTGAGCATATTTTTAAATACCATAAACTATGAAGAAGGAAGAATTAGGCCTTTAATTCTATCGTATGCACTTGGTTGTCAGAAGACTTCTGAATGCTGTTTGCTTAAAGACCTCTTTTGTAAAAGTAATCCTGAGTTGGTTTTGTGTCTCTAAGCCATTGCCAGTTCATGCTGAAGTGGATAAGAGCCAGTCACATGATAGAAAATCTGCAAGAAAAAAAAAAAGAAAATTTATTATGGAATTATATATGACTATAAAACTGAAAGTGTCAAGGAAGTAACAAATTAAAGGCATGCAAGATGAAGATGACAGATATTTGTTTGTGTGTGTGTGCATAAATATGATGCAATATACCTTTATATATTTGTTTTTAGGGGACTCTTGCTGCTGTGTTTGGAAAGAAAAAGTAAAAAGCAAAGACTCTTAYTGCTTTTAACTAAGTTTTCAAAAAGAGCCAGGTAGAAGTCAATGCTTTCCTGTCATCTGGTTTTAACTATTCCACTGTGTTTTATTGAATATAATGATTGGGACATTTTATCTTCCRTGTTTTCAGACAGCTGGGTCACAGCTGGGGTGTTTGTGCAATCCCTGGCAGATAAAAGATACAACCCTTAAGAAATCAAAACAAATGGCTGTGCTCTAACTCTCAACAGTGATGGCAGTGGCAAGGAGAAAGCTCTGTCACAACCAGGGACATCATTTTAGGTCAAGAGTGAGGCAGAGGGAGCAAGCCAATATTAATCTCATGGCAGGAGTGAGCCAGGGGTTTTCAGCAATCATGAATATTAACCTGACATCTCTCAGCTATTCTGAACTTCTTAAAACATGTCAGTATTTCAATTGCTAGGAAAGGTAAGGAAAGGGAAAAGACTGGTGCTTTTCTCCTTCCCCAAATCCCCTATACCTCATGTTTTCCCAGCAGCAGCAACAGGATAAAGACTCTTAGAATTTTTTGGTGGTTAAAGGTAATATCACTTCTTCTCCTGGACCTAAGGAACGTGGTTCTGGTAGCTCCTACAACACTACAGTGTTCCCAGCTATGCTGCATCCTTTGGGGTTGATGCCCTGTGCCAGGGATGCAGGTCATGGATAGACAGGCCAGAATCCTTTTTCCCATTGGGAACTYCTTCCCCAGGCAACAATCAACATGTAAAACATTCCCCAGCAGCAGCAGCCCACACAGGATGAGACGTGGCTTCCTCCACAGGATGGAAATACACTGTGAGCAGCTGAGGCACAGTGACACAAAGGGTCTGGAGGCACTCAGAGGCTCAGTCACAGCTGGGAGTGAAAGGACAGCACTCCCATGCACTTGAAAAGGACTCTGAGGACTCTGCATGCACAAACTGAGCCTTTTTGCTCACTACACTGCAAACATGGCCTTGACCTTGGTCAGCGCTGCAGCATCGGGGTCCCAGATGTCTGCAACACAGCTCAAACACACAGAAATACTGAGATGGAAGTGGCCCTGTCATTAATAACAAATCACATGCACGTTCCATTTCTGCAAAAGCATGAAGCCAGCACACTTAGAAAGGTTACTTTTGTTCTCCCCAAGTTGTAAGCTGCCCACAACCAACCTGCTGCTCAATGTCCCCCAGTAAGCTGCTGGCACCCAGGCGGAAGAGCTCTGGGGTCAACCACTCCACACCCAGCTCCTCCTTCACCAGCATCAGCCACGTGATGGCTTCTTTGGCTGTCCGAATGCCCCCAGCAGGCTTAAACCCAACCTTTGGAGAGAAAAAAAAAACAAAAAGAGAAGTGCCATAATCTGCATTTTGATTCATCAGCAGCCCTAGAAGAGAAGTCTTGTCTGTTCACCTGCAGTCTCCAAGGGCCCGTGGTAAGGATCTGACTGAAAACAGGACAAGAGCTGCACTGGCACTGGGAGCTGTCAAACCTCAGCCATCACTGCCAAAGGTAAACATTTTCATCCTGAGGGAGTGATACTTGTGACCCCTGCACACYTTCTCAAGAGCTGGGCTTGGGGTCTAACAGGAATGCTTTTAGTTAAGCATGCCCATAGAGGGGATGTGTGTAGGGAGGACTGGGATATCTGCATAATTACACAGTGCCCATGTCATAATCACCTACTGCCAATCTATTCAAAATGCAGAACAACAAATACACAACAAAGACCCTAAAGATGCTGCACATGAGGCAGCTGACCCGTGGACAGCACTGAGAGCTGCTTGTGCTTTATAAAAAGGCAGCACAGTTAGACACGATTTGCCTGTRCATTCCAACCTCTCASAGCTTTAATTCTCAGTAAAATTTTYCAAATGGGAATTAAATTAGGTCTGTCTTTATCAAAAATTGAAAGGTCTGCACTTCACAGGAACTGCAAAACTTCYCTCCCCCAGCACAGGCTGGGTGTGCTTTCAGTCATTCAATGTGAGGTGTGTGTCACACCCGGTCAGGGGAACTGCCACAAAAGTAAAGGCACAAACACCAAATAAAACTTAAATCTCTGAGGTAAAGCATGCTTTGAGTGCCATGATGGACCTGCTGTGCACTTGGCACACACCCCTAATGCCAGCCCTTTGGTTATGTGCCATTTAAACACATCTCATTTCCAGACAGAGTTTGTGACACACAGCTATCAAATCCCTCATCAAAAATGCCAAAATGTTGGCCTGTAGCAGCTACCTAAAYGCTTGAAAAACATGGAGAATCAGGAAAAATTCTTTCTGCATTAAAAAAAAAAATAATCTGAACAACATGTAGCACAGAGTGATTCCTCCTACATTTCCTCCTGCCATTAACCTTTACATTCTGCAGGAATTATCTTTTTGTTTTTGCATGTAAGCTCCTGAAACCTCACTGCATTGAGGATTTCTTTGTGCCTTATGGATATAACAGTGGAATCAGAAAGTATCTGTTTTTAAATGTATTTGGTAATCTTTTTTATACAGTGATTTCAGGACCAACAAACAGAATAAATCCTTCTCTCATGCTGGAGCATTGTGATAATGGCATATTTCCAATAAGATTAAAAAGGAACAAAAGCAGGAAAAGCTTGATAAATCCAAACCACGAAAACTGTGTTTTTTTGTGGATGGACAAATAGATGTGTGAGTGTATGCATACATCTGTTAACATTAGATTTCCACAAAGAATTTAAAGCACAGCGACTGGAAAAGCATCTTCTGGATAATAAATAAAAACAGTTGGAATGTGTTTTCCCTCAGGAAGAGAAATCCTAATGAAATCTGAATTTAGATTTCTTCCTAGAAATACTAGGTCTCTTTGAGATAATCTGTGGCAAAAACAGTAGAACAGAGTTAACAAGAGAATTAAAACCATCATTCAGAATTCCTTCCYCTTTTAGCAAATTCTGAAAGCTCTTTTCTTTGCAAAAAAAGCTGACAAAGACAAGCCTGTCCTGCCCTCCATTTACCAGCTTTCCAAACAGCACATCTGACTGCCATAAAAACGTAAAAAGGAAGGGGGGGTTGGAATTTAATTCAAGAGCAGTACAAAGTCCAGCTACCACTTTCCTGCTGTTTCACAGCATTTCATTATTTTGCTTAATAAGTTCATCTCCTCAAGAATTTTCTCTTCACCTTACATTATTAAAAGTAATAAGTTTTTCTGGATTGGGGGTTTTCCCAACAGAAAAACCAATTTATGTATGTCCTTCAATAATGACAGGAAAAGATTATTTCCCATTATATTGCACACTTTTCATATCACCACCACAGCTTATCAGTCAATAAATGTTACTCTGCAACTTGTTCCTTTCCTTGAAGAAGTTTAATTTCTGTATTAACCTGTTTTTCCCAGGCAACGCCTTGCTAGAAAGCATCCCTACAGCAGCAAAATTAGTTTGTTAAAGAAACCATTTAGAAATTCCTTGTCCCTGATAATATTGTCTTCAGTTAATAAAAGTACATGAAGTCAGTTTACATCTAATTCACTGACACACACATGCACACAGACACAAGCACTCATTCTTAATAACACATTTTGTACCCTGAATGCGTCCTTTAAAAGCAGAGGGTGAATTCAACATTTATATCCAATTATGGGGACAAAGCTGGGTTAATGCAGCAGGGACCAACTTGTGGCACACAGCTCGTGGCAGCAGCACCGGGCCCCAGGGATGTGCTGGGGCAGTGATGGTGCTCCCACACAAACAGGACAATTGGAGCTGTGTGGGGAAGGGAGGAGTGGGAACAGCCCAGGKATCCGTGCTGGCCTCATCTGGATGGGTACAGAGAGCAGATGGACACAGCTCCAACCTGGAATCACAGGCTCTGACAGCCCCTGGAACCATCTCACCCCCATCCTGCTGCTAATCCCACTGCACCTTGAAAGGTCACCTGCAGAGGGACAGGAGGATAAGCCACAGAGGAGGGAAGGGGGCCCAGAAATGGGGAGAGGCTCTTGGCAGAGCCACAGCTTCGTCCCCTGCAGCTGAAGGTGGGGACAAAGCCCCCGCTGAACACCGGCACCAGATCTCACCAGCAGCCCCATCTRCCCACGGATAAAGGAAGGGAGAGGTGGCTCAAGCTCTCCTGGGAACCTCCTGCTCCTTTCTCAACGTTTCAGAAAAGGATGAACGCACAGACATCACCGGCTCTGCTGCACATTCCCCTTTTCTCCACTGACCTCAGCTGACAGTGACCTGATCCATGAGCATTAAATACCAGGACATAATGTTCTTCAAGTGCCTGTCCCCTCTCTCCTTCCTGCCATCCCAAGCAGCAGGATACCCCTGGATCTGCCTCCTTGTCCCCTTGCAAAGCTTCCCAGGCAAGGGAACAAAGTGACACAAACTGTGTCACTTGGGTTGCCTGAACAAAGTCAGAAAACACAGTTGTGCACACTGGACGGACTCCTGATGGCTTTAAATTTGTACAGCTCTGCTGGGGTTTATGGGAGCRTGTCAGCCACTATCAGTTTGAGATTTGCTGTGTTATTAATGGACATAACCACTTAAATAGCAAAATAAAATTCATATCCAAATGCAGCAGGGAATGCTTTAACTGCATGAGCTTTTATGGAATGAAGTAACAATGCTTCAAGGGAGAAAAGACAAAAGTAAAAGAAAAAAGAATTAATATTAGCAAATCAATCCAATCACATTCTAMTTTCTTTCTGAGTGAAACTGTTTGGTTAATCTTTACAAAGGAAATGAGAACTACCTTGTAGCCAGTTTGCCAGTAGTATTCTTTAATGGCTCGCATCATGACTATGCCAACKGGAAAGGTCGCGTTTTCCACCTCCTTTCCTGTAGATGTCTTTATAAAATCAGAACCTGAAAAGGGAGCAAAATGTTTTATAACAGTTTTAGAACAAGTGTCACTCTGCATGCACAGAGTTCACAGCCTCAAAGATGCCCTCCTGCTTCACAACAATTCTGAAATATTCCTTTTCATGGATCTCCCTCTGGTGTATACAAACCAACATTTCAGTATTTCCATGAGGATCTTTGAGAACAGAAATTATTTTCATCAGGTTTTTTTAATTTAACTTTGCATCTACTTAATCTCATGTTTTACTGTCCGGTATTCTATCTCCTGCAGCTGTTTTTAATAGAAGGAAAAGGTATCTCATATGTATTTACTAAACCAGCTGTGTAACACTGTAAACCAAGGGAAAACTCCCCTTTTCTGCATTTTGCAATTGTAACATTGCAAGTTACCATACTTATAGCCATGGTCTGATTTAAYGTAGTAACAAGGTCAAARCTCCRTATTRTTTAGAGAACAAGAGMTAGCCTTGGCTTATTTWTTTTCTGTTTYCTCATTTGTGAACAATATTCTCCASTGCCTGTCTTGTGTAACAWTCTTGTGTACTCTTGTTTTTCTGCCTTGGCTTAAAAGAAATCCTGAAGCACAGTGTAACAAATASCTAAGAAACTMACAAAAAATAAYGTGCCCTGACAGAACACAATGACAGAACTTCTTTAATTTCATTAGGACGCACTTCATCCCTAGGAACCTACTTCTTAGAAAAGGTGTACTGTGGGATCATTAATTATCAAAAGTAATTGGGAGAAGAAGAGGGATAATTCAAACATCGTGTAGTAGCGCATCATCCACTTAAGTCAATTGGAACCACATCTGCTTCCACTTCAAATTTGGCTTAGGGTCCATTTTTGTCTCTTATGTGGATGATGATGCCTCTACAACATCCCCTGGAGTAAGGAAGGGAAGTTTCAGCACTGGCTCCAAGGAAGGAGTTGCCTTGACTACGTTGTGATGGTGCAGCAGCACACTCCAGAGAGCTCCTGATGGCACAGCTGGCTGGCACACAGCTGGCGCTCAGCCCATGGCACGGCAACACAAAGCCAGGCATGGTTCTGTGCTTGGGATTTAAACACAACCAAATGGTACCACCAACTTTATAAGGTTTCTAAGATTACATTTGGTAGGGTTCCTGACGAGGCACTACCTCAGCCCAGTGGTGATTCAATTGCACCATCCTGTGACAGCTTCCATCCTGRAGAGAAACAGCTATTTGCAAGAAAGATTCCAGCTCCAGAGAAAGTGCAACGTGCAAAARAGGCAATTAATAGTTGACTGAGCTTTGCAAACAAGGGAGCACACAGGAGAGACAATTGAGTTACACTTTTCAGAGCTACTCTCTTCCAGAGAGACACCACGGACATCTGATAGGCACATTAAAACAAGGARCAGTGGAAGTGAAACTTCAACATCACCAAATTATATTTTTAATTTCCCTTTCGAAATGTAGCACTTGAAGTCCTTCAGTGCAATACTTTTCTTTTTTTTCTACTAAAAGGTAAGTCAAAGCTTTTATAAGTCTTATAATTACAAGTCTCTATGGTACAGTTTCATTAAAAACTTTCATTAAACAACAGCTGCCCTTGTATATGGTCTTCTAATCAATTTGGTCAAACAGAATGACTTCTAATCAGCTGTTGATAAAAATAGAAGATGAAATTTTAATTCTAATAGATTAACCACAAACTCAAGATAGTCTTCAAAATCCATCTAGTTCTATTCTCCAGTGGATTTAACGACTATTCAGCAACTCATTACTAAATAGAACAAGATGAACATTTTCCAGTTCATTAAAGAAATGTACTATGTATTTTTGCATTGTCCTCATGATTCGTTACAGGGAGTCTTAATTACAAGATAATGGATAATGGTTATTAAATGCAGACTCCAGTAATGAAGCTCTATTCATTTGCGAGCCTCCGAGACTGCAAAGAGGGGAAAATAAAATTACTAGCTTCAAAAGATTAACGGATCAAATTATTATTCAATTTTGAAAATCTCATTCAGACTTCATAGAAACAAGAAGAGATTAAAAACTAGTATTAGTACAAAAGTTGTGCATTTATATATTTATTTTTAAATAATATCTTAAGGCTATTACCAGAATATTCAGCTTTAGATGTGATTATTAGACAAACATACAGCCAATTAAGTAGCATCCTCTAACAATGAAAACAATACATTTTTATTTCCYGAACAAATTCTTTTTATGACACAAGAGCTTGCTAGCAGGACTGCAGGCAGCCTCTTGCAGAAGACAGAGGACCCACAACAGCACAGAGAGAAACACTGGAAGGTGTTATTAACGTTTAGGTTTCAGCAGTGAAAAGCAGGATTTAAAAATCAAGCKCTGCCATAAAAGGCTCCTCACTAAGCAGAAGTTCAGCCTTGTAATAATAAGGGAGTTCCACTAAGTCTACTTCTTATTCAAGTTTTCAAAAACAAGTCTAAGGAATGAAGCTCAGGAGTTTYACCTGGAAATTTAGGTGATGATTCAGAAACCTGAGTTTTATGACCCAGCCTCTCATATTTTTGCGAATGTATACACTCAAAAAATCAAGGCTAAGGCTAAAATACACACTGAATGGCTTTCTTCTTCCTTAGAGTAGATTACATGGTTCAATGAAGCATTAAATCAAAGATTTTACAAAATTAGTTATTCAAGGTAGATTTCTAGGCCCACTGAGCCTGGAAAAGACTGCACTTCCTACTCTTTTTTCCCAATGTRAAGCCACAACAGCAAATTTCATTTCAAAGCGAGTCATGTACAACTCACTGAACCAGGGAGATGGGATGAGCTCAGTGGTGAGAACGTGGTGCCAATAACACCAAGGCTGTGGGTTCAACACCTTACAGGCCACTGATTGAAACAGAAATCCCCTGCAATATTTCTGTTCTAGAATCACAGCCTTGTTGACAGTGGCACTCAAATTTGCAGAGCTGAGGTATCCAGAAGTTGAGGGACTTACCCAAGGCCTCCCAGCAAGCATTTGGCAGGGCATGGATGGAATGCTCTGGTCTCCCAAAAGGTCAGGAGAGCTTCCAGAACTGGCCTGCCCTATTGCCACCCTCTACACCAACTGGAAACTCTACAAAGCTTTACAGCCCATGTAACACTGAAGCAGAGCACGAGAAGTGGAGAATCTTATTTAGATGACAGCATCCAGGAAACACACTCTGATTCCATAATTAAGCAATGAGGAATAATAAGCAGTATAGCAATCGTGKAGTAATCACAACCTTTTGGTTGTGAAGTGTTTCAAATGCCCTTGGGGAATGATTATCTCCTGATAACTACAGACTCAGTGTTGTTGGCTTAGTCTTAATAAAGAACAAAGATGTGCCTGGCGGTTTTAAACAATGGTTCAGAGAGAGATGCTTGCCAAGGGACAATTATGCTGTGCTGCTTTGTAAGCATTCACAAGGAGCACAAATATGTCTTCATTGCTGCGACTCASAGATAACAACGTGCAGTGATGTGGGGACAACACAGACCCTCCCAAGACTTGCAGGACTGGTAGCAAAGAGTGGATTCTGCTCAGAGGACCTGCAAACCCACCTGCTGCTTCTGCTGACAAGRGAGCAGTGACAAAATAGCACCATAATATCAAATGTGCACAAAGTCCCACTAGCAAGTCATCTTTGTATTCTATGAGCACCCAAACTAAGGGTCTTCAGATTCTTGCACAATTAGCCTGACTATAGGTGACCAGGTCAACAGCCCTGTGAAAATAAGAGATACAAGACACAAAAGGCTAATGTAGCAGCTAATTCTTGTCAGTTCAGTCATCCTAATTGTCCTGCTTACATGTCCTTATCCTGCTCCAGCAGCAAGATGAAACACTGAAAGCTGGTCTATACCTTGGTCTGTTGTGAACCGCCCATTTTTTTGCAACCCTTTTTGAAAAGGTGACTGTGCAGAGGGGAAAAGAAATAAAAATGCCATAATGGTTTCCACATTTAATGTCTGCTTACGAGTGAGACAACCTTTCTGAAAACCCATCCYATCATCCCAGCTTGGTTTCCAGGACTCAGAACGGATGCTCCCTTTCTTGTACAGCACCTCCACTAACAGGGGTTCTGCAGACCAAATGATGCCCTTAGGAACACTTACACATGCACACAAAGGGACAAATTATTAAGTCCATACTCATGCAAAATTCCCTGTAGATGATGTCTGAAGGAATTCAGCATTGCTGAATTATGCATAGCTTGCTAATGCACTATTACAGTGTCTACCACAGGTCTCCACAGAATACTATTACTTAATTAGTRTAAGTTTCTTGTGTGTTCATTTAAAACATTCCTTTAGAAGGTTCAACAGGAAGAGCCAAACCACCTTCTGTTGCTCGGCTACACAGCACAGGCACTTGCTATTTTTAGAGCATTCCTTCCCACCCAATCCTTATGTRGGATGGAGAAAGAGAAGATAAATAATTGACATGTGCTCTGGGTCCAGAGACTGCAGCTGGAACCCCTGTCACGGGTGGCACTTGGCTTGGAGCCACATGGAGGCACAGAAGGAAAGCTGCCCCCAGTCACCTTCCCACATTGCCACGCAGAAAAGATGGGAGATGTTGGGAGATGCCAGGGTGCAGGAGTTCAGKCAATTATGTGCTGCTGGAACTATCATTCCTCCTCCCCAAAGAGGAAGCAGCAGCATATCCTCCCAGGAGTGACTTTGTGGGACAACAAAGAAGTTTAAGAAATGCCTGTTATCCCCTTGTTAAATTTCATTACCACAATCTCAATTTTCTTCTGATGAAGCAACACAAAGATTGGCCTCGCCTCTCAGACTGAATGCAAGMACTCTGGGTCTCAGCACCGAGCCACGTGCTTGGGTTAGGATGGGTGAAAAAGCAAAATGCTGGGGGAGAAACTGGGCTTGATTTSAAAATCTCCCCCTTTGAGCTTCCTTTGCAAACACTCAAATGCATTGCACCACTTTCTTATTCACACTTAAATTAATCTAAACAATGATAAACTAKCTTAAACTGTGATATAATTA